GGAAAGAATCCAGGAGAGGAGACAGCTTATGGGGGAAAGAGAAACCCCTGCCTCTATCCCCAATTATGCACAAAATTTCGAGTCAACCCCTGCAGTTTTCTTGGCAATATTTTTGGAAGTGATTTGGCCTTGCCTCCTCCTTCCTAGGGCTGGGAGAGAAGGACTGGCCCAAAGTCACCCAACCGGCTTTGTGTCTAAGGCAGGACTCGAACTCACGGTCTCCAACTTCTAATCCCATGCCTTTAACCACGACACTAAACTGGTCCTCTAGTGGCCTGCCAGTTCCTTCTTCCTAAGACTGAGAGAGATGGGGGGTGGGGGGGGGACTAGGCCAAAGTTACCCCGTTGCCTTCATGCCTAAGGCAGGACTTGAACTCATGGTCTCCTGGTTTCTAACCCAGCACTTTCATCACTAGACCAAAGGGGCAGAATTTACAGCACAAAAAAGTAAGAGGTGGCTTCTCGGCATTCGTAAGAAGGAAGACACAGAGAAGGCCAAATGAAACCGACACCAGTTCAATCTGAAGGTCAAGAGGAGCTTCTCCTAACAGGAAAAGCTTTTCAGCAAAGGGGCCGAAAACCAGCAAGGAAGGGAGATGTCTCAGGACGTCTCAGAACAGACCAAAGGAGATATTCCCCATGCCGCAGACTTAAAACGATGGAACTTGCTAAGCCAGATTTAACAGGAGCCAGCCACTTGAACGGGCTTTTCCAAGGGCTTAGAGAAACTGATGGAAGGACCCAACTTCAGGGGCATCTGATCATGAGAGCGAGAGATCATTTTCAGGATCAGAGGTCTCCGAAGCTTCTCAGGAGCAGATCCCGGGGAATAATAGAAGAGCGGAGGCCAAGCTTCCCAGTAGGAACAGAATCCTGGACTGATATCCAGAGGGATCTTTTTCTTTTTGAGACAACTGAGAGAGATTTTCTATCACTCACGGGATTTAAGTCGAGAACGACAGCCATCTGTCAGGAAGGCTACGAGACCCCGAACTATGGATAAAGTGGGCTACGTTTTCTAAGGTCACTATGGCAGGTGCCAAATTCTGCTTTTTTTTGCTTTAAAACAAGGATGGAGGCTACCCCCCCCCCACTGTTCTCAAACTTCAACGTTTCAGAGGAATCCTGACCCGCCAGCACCGGCATTCAAACTTTTTTCAATCGTTCCAGTAAGACAATATATTTCTTCCGGGTTACGCTATTCCTTCCAGCCACCCTGGGGTTTACCTCTGCATCGGATACCCCACAAGTGTCCAAAGAATCCCCTCGTTCTAAAACAGATCACGGATGGAAAAAGGACCATGTGAGGCACTGGGGAAGGATTTCACACAATGATAAAAGCAAGGTGTTCGTGGAGGATTTTAACGTTTCGAATTCCGGTCGCCAAGCTTTGCCAGCAAACAAGGACGGAATTTGCAAAGCAGAAGAAGGGAAATGTGGACTGCAGCATCTTCGCCTCTCCAAACAAGAATGGGTGTGGGAGAAAGGATGGTTCAACTCTGGGTCTTCTTTTGGGGTATCCACACGGGCACGACATACCAGAAGAAATGTAGGGGTTTGACCCAAAGATGCTCACAATCAAGCAGTAAAGAGTGTACAAGATTTACAGAGGCGTGACAGTGGTTATACTTACGAAATGCTGGCGGTCCCAAGCAAAACACAGAAGCAGGGAGAGATAAAAACAGCAAGAACAGATGTTAGTGTAAAGCGCCTTTTCCAAATAATCCCTTTTAGGGCAATGGATTGCAGATATTCACAGATATATCCCCCCCACACACACACACACACAAAAAGCCCTGAACACTCTAAAGTTTGCAAATAAGACATTGCAACCATTGCTGAATCCAAACGTTTAGTCCTTTGCCTGTTTCCTCAAGGACTGAAGAAAGAAAATTAGCACATAAAACCTCCGGAGGGAGCCAGCCAACCCTGGATTCCACCCCATTAAAAAAAGCAGGCATTGAAGCCCTCTCCTCGAGAGTGCAAATCCTGACATTGGAACAGGAATTGGAGTGTAAAAGAAACGTCGCCAGGCTGAGCTGGGAAGCAAAGAGAGTTTGGTTCATGGGAAAAGTCTCTGCAAAATGCAACAATTTGAAAGGACACCAGGGGTATCCTGGAGAAAGGACGAGTCTAAAAGGGATGTGCTTCATGGAGAATTGCCAATGGAATGGTTAAACTAAATATGACGGCCCTAAACAAAACACACACACATATGGAATGAGACAAAGGCTAAGGCAGGAATATTTATCAGGCCTCTAATGGATGGTTCTGTCAAATGATGTTGCATAAAATAAAGAAAATGGCAGGGGAGTCGTGGGTTGTGGGGGTGGAAAGAACATGCACATTTTTTACTGCTCCACCGATATTCACCGCCCCGTTTTTTTCCCACCCCATCTTTCTTCGGCTTAACTTACGCTTGCATAGTAGTGGTAGCTGTTTGGAAAGTGAAAAGGTTCTCTTTGGGGAACCAGGTCCTGATGGGAACCTCATCTGGAATAAATGAATGAACAAATAATTAAATAAATACATAAATGGCGGATAAAAATGTCAAATCCAGTCTAAACATCTGGCTGACTGTGCGACCAACCATAATGATAATAATAGATGATACCTTTGTGAGAGGAAAAAACTGATTTATTAATACTTAAGGCCTTTGTTAATTGTAACATACAAATAAAACAAGCTTATCGAGCAATAAAGTAAATAAAATTACGGAGCACTAAATAAAATTGCTATGTGGACTAAAGTTTTCAGTCATGGACAGGAAGCTGGAAAATAGTGTGCTGATAGAAGGAGTGGGACAGGAACAATGGAACAGGGCAGTGTGGTAAAATTAGCACCAAGGACGTAATGATTCAGTTGCAAATCCTGGGAGTCATGTCTGTGGTTTGTGGCTTTTGAGGATAAAAGGGATTGCAACTAAGGGGTTGGGGCCACTTGGCCAAGCTGTCTTACCTGACAGCTTGCTCATGCTGGTCCTCATTGCAACCTTGTATGCTACTGGTTGAATTTTACTTGCTTATTGAACTAACATTTAATAAAGCTTTTAGAACTTTTAAGTGACTTATGTTCTGGTGTGTCTGTCTCCCGTGTTTAACGAGGTTTTTCCCCTGACACCTTTAACACCATCAAACAACATCTGCCTATTCCAGGTCCTTGGGAAGGACTCGAGTGGTGGATAAAAATGCCAATCCAGTCTAAACATCTGGCTGGCTGGGCAACCAACCCTAATAGCAACAACACAGTGCTGAGCATCCAGGGGAGAAAAGGGAAAGAGGAAGGAGACATAATGAAAGCAAACCACAGGTATAACTTATTATCTGGGATAAAAAAGAAATTATGCCCCCTAGTCAAACTCAGCTCTTGCTGATTACCTGGGCCAAGTCTGCTACAGCAGCCGCAAAGCTGTAATAACCCTCTCTAGAATTAGGGTTATTGCAAAAGAGATAAATAGGCCGAGTGTTTTATGTTTTGGAGCAATTTAATTGGTTTCAGAGTCAATGAAGATTTTTCTTCACGGGTTTTTCGTCTGCCTGTTTTTTATCTTGAATTTCGTACTGCAAAGGGCTTGGATGTCCTCACCTGCAAATTACGCAGGTAAAGAAACCACTCAAAATCTTTATTTCATTCACTGACCAACCTAAAACCACATTAGCACGGCCTACAACCTTTCCAGTATAAACCTTCTAGCTCAGGGTTTCTCAAACTTGGCCACTTTAAGACAATTTGCCAGTTCCCAGAATACCCCAGCCAAATGTCTTAGAGCTGCCAAGTTTAAAAAACACTGATCTAGCCTATAAGCTATAGAAAAATAACTACAAATTAGAATGATTAACAGAAAGCAATAAAATCAGCACATCGCTAAAAAGGTTAAGATGATGGAAACTATAGTACGGTCTAGTGTGATCTTTAAATAAAATTAAAAACCAGAATGGCCAACATTTACCCTTAAGATCACTAAAATCTAAAATCATAATTTGCATTTGGCTGCAATTTGGCCTATGTGGAGTCTGTGGATAGGAAAGTATCTCTTTCGTCCCCACATCCCGACTCTTGGTGTAAAAGAGAGAACGAATCTTGGATAAACAGAGCAACAACTATAAAAGGATTTGCTTCCAACCAAGAGAAACTGACTTATGGAACTCGCTGCCACATGACGTTGACCTTTATAACTGGGTAGGACCCCAAGGCCACTGAGAAAGTAAACCCAGCTTTATCGCACCTACCGGAAACACGGTCAATGCTATACATTCGTTCCAGCTTCTTCCGGCGCCAGCCAGTCTCGCCAGCTTGGTTCTGGTGATGGTTTGGGTGCTGGTGCTGGTGCTGGTGATGTTCTAGATCAAAAGGGTGCTGGGATGACATGGTCAACTGGGCACAACTGGGGTACTCTTTTGAGCCCTGCTGGTGACTGGGCCAACCGCCCTTGCATTGTCGGCTGATGTTGTGAGAACTCCCGGCGTTCTGGAGAGGCTGGCCTAAGGAGCGGTCCCCGTCTGCCTCTTCCTCTTCCGTCCCTTTGATGACCACCAGCTCCATGCTCTCACTCTGATGCTGCGAGAGCATGGGCCCCTCGCTGGAAATGGTATAGACTCGGGGTTTGGGGCCCTCCCCTGCCAGCTTCTCGCCAGCTTCCTCTGGAAAGCTGGGCTGAAACTTCCCGTCAGAAATAAGAGAAAGGCGTCGCTTGTTTTGAACTCCCACGTGAATCTCTGGAGAATCTTCTTGTCCGACGTACGACTCTGCCAACAGGTGATCTGAAAGCAGGATGAGAAACACGGATTTGGTGGCCTTTCTCCAGCTCTTGGTGATGACAACCTCTGGTTGCCCCAAACCAGCCTGGTTGCCCAGCCAGAGATGAGGGACATTGATAGTTGTGGTCAATAACAGTTGGATGACCACAAGTGCCTCATCATCTCTAAGAGAAGAAGATCTGAGGGTACCCTGGAGGGGCAGAGAACCTGTTAACACGAGTCACTTTCTGCCCTGCAAAAACCTGAATTCTGCCATTTGGTTACAGGCCTTTGCGTTGAAACAAACCTAATTAAAATTCCAGGTCAAGATTGTTCAAAATATCTTTTCTATCCAAATTGTACAAATCTAGGTAACTTGTGCACCTTACTTAATTCACTCCTAACGTATTCAAAAGAAAAGAGCCAGCATTCATATTTACATATTGACCCAAAAGGAAGATGACCTTGAATTTAAATGGATCCCCCTCCCTGCCCCAAACCAAATTATACAGCTGACCTGATCACTGGGAAAGTATAAAGCCAACCTTTCTTTCTTTGGAAACTGACATTACCTACTCACTTCCAAGCACTCAAAATATTATTATTACTTGTAGAAAATGTTCTTTCAGATGCAAAAGGAGCTTACCAATACTTCAATTAAAAAAAAAATGCATTCATGAGAACTAGAAACTTTAAAGACATGAACAAGGGCAAAAGCAACTGAATACAGAGCTGTATTCTTTAAACATCCCTGACTAACTGTAGTTCAAGACCAGCCCTGTATTAATCTGGATATTTTGCTTCTATGACTATGAATGAAACTATGACTGAGAAATCCCACGTGCATCGGTATTAATTTAAATCATTAGGTTAGATTTTCAGAGCTGTTCTAATGTTCTTTCAATGCTTTAATGTGCTTTTCCTGATACATATTGCCTTAGAGAGAGATTTGGGGGAGGGAGGCAGTTTAAAATTATGGTTAATTAAGATGAATCTCTGCACGCAACGGAGACGCATATAAAAGAAATCCAGCATGGATCTTTGGGAATTTGTCATACCTGAACCATTCTTGCCTTCGGGATGGTTTTGGGAAAGATAATCTCCAAAAGCCCTTGCCGCTCTTCACATAAACCAGGGTGGAAAAATGCAAACAGCAAAGACACAAGAGGAAAGAGGAAGGAAAAAATAATTAGTAATCATAGCAGCAAAATTCAGCACGCTGCTACTTGCCAATTCCATTGCCTTCCACCCAAAAATGGACATTTTAAAAAGAGACATTATAAAGAGATGCAAACAATTTGCAGAGTTGCCAAAAATTTGCCTACATTTTTCATTTGTTATACATTCTCTCTCCCTCTTTCTCTCCAGCATGCATATTCAGCTAGATCAATGTTGCTAATGCTGCCGTTGGCCTTACACCAGCAGAAAATTGACAAGTGATGTATTCTGCTGGGGAATTAAAGAGATTTGCTGCGAGGAGGGGAGAGAGAGAAATTATTCAAATTGGGAAAACCAGGAAGAACCACAGATTCACTCAGATCCATCTCTTCCCAGAGTCAGGCATGTCTTTTGATTGATTATTTGCCATCAAATCAGGGTTAACTCTTAGTGACCATGTAGGTAGACCTTCTCCAGGATGAATGCATATCTGCTTCTAGGTAAAAATGAAATGGTGTAGGATATGATTGAATCTTTCTGCTTTTGATTCTCAGTAAAGGGAGGGGAG